ATATCAAACGCAACAACTAGCTAAATGCAAAACGACTCGCTATTTCGAGCCTCTCCGGGCCGCCCAATCAGAACTCCGCGCTATGCTGTGTCAGGGCATCTTCACCTGCGTCCGCTTCCCCGCCTAGATCGGATAGCGTAGAAGCCTTTTCTTGGATCGGTACGTCTCTTGAGCAAGCTTACGCTTCTTTTTTAGCTTCAAGCCAAGCTCGATCAACCTTTTTTGAGCTCGTCTGTACCATTCACCATTCTGCAGTTGTAGAGGGCAATGCGAGATATGGGCGTTCGTAAGGCCTACGCACAAAGATATCGTCATAAAGCCCTCGAGACAAACGATATTTGTCGGCGTATTTCGCCAAAGCTCATTGAGCCGCCCAAAGTAGTTCTCAACAATCACACGATCATGCGCAATCCGGTCATTGTTTGCTTGGTCTGCTCGTCTCAGATACTTTCCTTTTTTCGGTATGATACCGCGCAAGAAGGGAGCAATGTCTTGATATCGTTTGTCTGCTAACAGAACCCGTTCATCTGGAAATGCTTCTAGAAGGGGACCGTCGTCTGGAAGACTCTCATTGCCTGCAACTTTCTCATTTTGCTGTGATGGAATGCCGTGTTGCTCTTGAAGATCGTGATGTCGTGTGTTGCCGCAGGCACATGCTCGCCGCAATTAATTGCGAAGCCACGACCGATACCTCCACCTTTAGCCCATACAGAAGATGCTTCCCGCTGCAGTGCTGCCGCCTGGTCGCCAGCTCTGTTGAAACGTGACATCTTCTGCATACATGGCACTCGGAAAATGCTCAAATGTGTTACCCCCTGTTCGTGCGTTGCGCATTGTTGCCTCGTCGCAACGATCCTGAACTTGGTCGACGTAAATCTTAGGAGCTAGAATTTTGATGAACTTCGTAACTACGTCCATGAAGGTAGTGGTAGTCAATCGAAAGCGATTGGCGTTGGAGTCCCATGTTCTCCCCTCTTTGAGCATCACGAGCGTCCTGAAGAAGGCGTCCTTTGGCTTAATTTCGGAGTGCTTGCCTCGACCAACGTTGTAATTCATTCGTACATGGTCACGAACAGTGAGCCACAGTGCGTTGAACTCTCGTAGCGAAAAGTTAGTCATAGCGTGGATCGCGCCAGAACCACCAATCTCACGAAACGGGTCCATTAGAGGCGTGTCGGTTTCATCGGTGTCGACTTCATGCAGTGGTGCGTTGGGGAAATGACTGAGGTCTTCCTCTCGGTCAATGCGACGTTCTTCTAGCTCTGAAAGTACAGATTCAACACGATCCCGGGCAGATTGGCGCGTACCGCGTGGTTGTGCTGGCATTGCTGGCTTTTGACTTTGTTTTGTATGTGGACTCGGGAAAGACTGAGAAACTCGGGAAATGTGCTACCTTCTCGCCGGGAATCTTTCGCTTACGGGAGAGACTAGTCAAATCAAAGGTGGGCTTCTCTTCCGGACATGATGAATCACAACATGATTAAGTAGGGTTCCCCCAAACAACAAAGTGCATCGCCAGCCATTGTGATTACCAGCGGGACCACATGTGTTCCCGCCGGGTTATCCCAGTTATGCCAATTTTTCAGTCAACTCGCCAAGTGGCCTATTGCTTCTGAGTTATCTGGTGGCTGAAGCTGCGACCGACAAAGCAGACTTCATACGTAAGCTTTTTAACAGTAAAATAAACAATCGGATCTCCGAGCAGGAATAAAGGCCCATGGCTGACGCCACGCACCGGAAGTTGTGAGCCGCTTACACTGTCTTTGTGTTGAATGGTACTAGGCATCCAATCAATATATTAGTGACGACTATAAGCCTTTCAATACTTCAGGCATCCAAACAATCCTTGAAGGTTGCTACTGTATTCTCAAAAGAAGAGAGCACAAGTGGAGCGGCTGA